GGTGTGGTCGTGCTGGGGTGTGGTCTTGCTAGGGTGGGGTCGTGCTGGGGTGGGGTCGTGCTGGGGTGGGGTGCGTGCTGGGGTGTGGTCGTGCTGGGGTGTGGTCGTGCTGGGGTGTGGTCGTGCTGGGGTGTGGTCGTGCTGGGGCGTGGTCGTGCTGGGGGGTGGTCGTGCTGGGGGGTGTCGTGCTGGGGGGTGGTCGTGCTGGGGCGTGGTCGTGCTGGGGCGTGGTCGTGCTGGGGCGTGGTCTGTGGTGAGGTCGTGCTGGGGTGTGGTCGTGCTGGGGTGTGGTCTTGCTGGGGTAGGGGCGTGCTGGGGTCGGGTCGTGCTGGGGTGTGGTCGTGCTGGGGTATGGTCGTGCTGGGGTGGGGTCGTGCTGGGGTGTGGTCGTGCTGAGGTGTGTTCGTGCTGGGGTGTGGTCGTGCTGGGGCGTGGTCGTGCGGTGGGGTCGTGCATTTCGCTCGAGACATCCTGCCAAAATTCCAGGAAATCGTACAAAAACAAACGAATTAGTCGAGACATCATCGAAATTCCTTCGCGCGGGGCGCTTTTCCGCGTCGCGGTCGGCTCTGCAAAACAAGCGTTTCGCTCGAGACATCCTCGGCAAACTCTGCGGAGCAAGCGTTTCGCTCGAGACATCCTCAACTCTGCAAAACCAGCGTTTCGCTCGAGACATCCTCAAGAAATTCTGAAAAACAAGCGTTTCGCTCGAGACATCCTCAAATTTTAATTCGCCGGCCTCCTTCGACCTCGTTATTTATCAGAGAAACATGATGGACCCACGAACCCGGAAAGGGATATAGACATTGGAGCATGGACACGTTTTCATGATACCCAACTGGGCAACACCTCACGAAATCCACCACGAGACACCTCACGAAACAGCCCACGAGACACCTCACGAAACATTTCCGCGAGACACCTCACGAAACATTTCACAGAGACACCCCGCGAAACATTCCACGAGACACCCCACGAAACATTCCACGACGACAGGCAACCACTCAACCAAGGCGGTGTGGTCGTGCTGGGGAGTGGTCGTGCTGGGGTGTGGTCGTGCTGGGGGGTTGGTCGTGCTGGGGTGTGGTCGTGCTGGGGGGGTGGTCGTGCTGGGGGGTGGTTGTGCTGGGGCGTGGTCGTGCTGGGGCGTGGTCGTGCTGGGGCGTGGTCGTGCTGGGGCGTGGTCGTGCTGGGGTGTGGTCGTGCTGTGGGTAAGGTCGTGCGGGGGTGCGGTCGTGCTGGGGTGTGGTCTTGCTGGGGTGGGGTCGTGCTGGGGTGTGATCGTGCTGGGGTGGGGTCGTGCTGGGGTGTGGTCGTGCTGGGGTGTGTTCGTGCTAGGGTGGGGTCGTGCTGGGGTGGGGTCGTGCTGGGGAGTGGTCGTGCTGGGGTGTGGTCGTGCTGGGGTGTGGTCATGCTGGGGCGTGGTCGTGCTGGGGTGGGGTCGTGCTGGGGTGGGGTCGTGCTGGGGTGGGTTCGTGCTGGGGTGCTCCGCACCCTGTGATTTATCGATCGGGTCGTGCTGGGGTGTGGTCGTGCTGGGGTGTGGTCGTGCTGGGGTGTGGTCGTGCTGGGGTGTGGTCGTGCTGGGGTGTGGTCGTGCTGGGGAGTGGTCGTGCTGGGGGGTGGTCGTGCTGGGGGGTGGTCGTGCTCGGGGGTGGTCGTGCTGGGGGGGTGGTCGTGCTGGGGGGTGGTCGTGCTGGGGCGTGGTCGTGCTGGGGCGTGGTCGTGCTGGGGCGTGGTCGTGCTGGGGTGTGGTCGTGCTGGGGTAGGGTCGTGCTGGGGTCGGTCTTGCTGGGTTGGTCGTGCTGGGGTATGGTCGTGCTGTGGGGTGGGGTCGTGCTGGGTGTGTCGTGCTGGTCGGTCGTGCTGGTGTGGTCCGTGCTGGGTATGGTCGTGCTTAGGGTGGGGTCGTGCATTTCGCTCGAGACATCCTGCCAAAATTCCAGGAAATCGTACAAAAACAAAGGAATTAATCGAGACATCATCGAAATTCCTTCGCGCGCGGCGCTTTTCCGCGTCGCGGTCGGCTCTGCAAAACAAGCGTTTCGCTCGAGACATCCTCGGCAAACTCTGCGGAGCAAGCGTTTCGCTCGAGACATCCTCAACGCACGAAAAAGTGGCCCGCACCCTGTGATTTATCGATCGGGATTTCAAAAACAAGCGTTTCGCTCGAGACATCCTCAAATTTTAATTCGCCGGCCTCCTTCGACCTATTTATCAGGGAAAAAATTCGCCGGCCTCCCTCAAGTTGGCACCGGGGGACAGGTTTACCTACTAAAAGAGAACCCTGGGCCCCCGCCCTTTCCGGGAAAAATTCGCCGGCCTCCCTCAAGTTGGCACCGGGGGACAGGTTTACCTACTAAAAGAGAACCCTGGGCCCCCGCCCTTTCCGGGAACATGATGGACCCACGAACCCGGAAAGGGATATAGACATGTGCAGCATGGTCACGTTTTCACGATATCCAACTGGGCGACACCTCACGAAACATCCCACGAGACACCCCGCGAAACATCCCAGGAGACACCTCACGAAACAACCCACGAGACACCTCACGAAACATTCCACGAGACACCCCGTGAAACATTCCACGAGACACCCCACGAACAGGCAACCACTCAACCAGACACCCCACGAAACATTCCACGGGGGTGCGACTGGGTGTGGTCGTGCTGGGGTGTGGTCGTGCTGGAGTATGGTCGTGTTGGGGTGTGGTCGTGCTGGGGTGTGGTCGTGCTGGGGTGTGGTCGTGCTGGGGTGTGGTCGTGCTGGGGGGTGGTGCTGGGGGGTGGTCGTGCTGGGGCTGGTCGTGCTGGGGCGTGGTCGGGTGGTCGTGCTGGGGGGGTGGTCGTGCTGGGGGGTGGTCGTGCTGGGGCGTGGTGCTGGGGCGTGGTCGTGCTGGGGCGTGGTCGTGCTGGGGTGTGGTCGTGCTGTGGTGAGGTCGTGCTGGGGTGTGGTCGTGCTGGGGTGTGGTCTTGCTGGGGTAGGGTCGTGCTGGGGTCGGGTCGTGCTGGGGTGTGGTCGTGCTGGGGTATGGTCGTGCTGGGGTGGGGTCGTGCTGGGGTGGGGTCGTGCTGGGGTCTGGTCGTGCTGGGGTGTGGTCGTGCTGGGGTATGGTCGTGCTAGGGTGGGGTCGTGCATTTCGCTCGAGACATCCTGCCAAAATTCCAGGAAATCGTACAAAAACAAACGAATTAGTCGAGACATCATCGAAATTCCTTCGCGCGGGGCGCTTTTCCGCGTCGCGGTCGGCTCTGCAAAACAAGCGTTTCGCTCGAGACATCCTCGGCAAACTCTGCGGAGCAAGCGTTTCGCTCGAGACATCCTCAACACACGAAAAAGTGGCCCGCACCCTGTGATTTATCGATCGGGATTTCAAAAACAAGCGTTTCGCTCGAGACATCCTCAAATTTTAATTCGCCGGCCTCCTTCGACCTCGTTATTTATCAGGGAAAAAATTCGCCGGCCTCCTTCAAGTTGGCACCGGGGGACAGGTTTACCCACTAAAAGAGAACCCTGGGCCCAGGCCCTTTCCGGGAAAAACTCGCGAACGGTAAGGGGCGTCAGCCAGGCCTCCGGGGGGGCCGAGAGCAGGCGCCGTCGCGCCTTGGGCGGCTCTGGCCACCCATCTGGAGGGAGCGAGGCCTCGCGCGCCCAGCGATGCATGAGAGCGCCGGGCGTGGCGCCGCAGAGTTGGCAAGCCTTGCCGGCAGCGTCGTCGGCGCGCTGCAGATGGGCAATGCGGACTCGGGGCCGCTGACCCCCGGCGGGGGCGGACAGGGGCTGAGAGCGACATGGCCCCGATCACTGTGGCTCCGCGTAGCGTGGTCGCCCGCGGCCCATGAGGAGGGCATTGAGAGGGCGACGGACGAGAACGGCGACGGCGGTGGCGCCCCGGCCAACGGGGATGTCTGGCTCGCCTGCGACAAGGGCGGGCAGTGCCGAAATCACTCGCTGCGCGCCATCGGTCGACCGACCCGTGCGCGGCGGCCGCCGCCATCGCGGGGGACAGGGGGGGGGGGGGGGTCGACTGGCTCGCCGAGGTCGTTGGTGAAACGCCGCGGGGAGGCGCGCCCGCTCGAGCCGCCAAGCCTCTGCGATGACGCCCGCCAGAAGGCCGGCCACGGCGGCCCGCAGCGGCCGGCCGCTGGCCAGAACGCTAGCGAGGCGATCCCTCGACAGCTTCAAGAACGGCATCCAGTTCCGCCGCGGGTGCCCAGCCCTGCCAGTAAGCCATGTCCCAGTGGCGCAGCGGGATGGCATGCGCAGCGAAGGCGGGATCCAAGCAGGAGCCGTCAGCGTCGAGGACCGCGAAGCCGACGTCGACGTTCTGGCTCGCGCCGGGTGGCAAGGCCGCGCGGAGGGGGCGACCCTGGCGCCATGCAGGTGCGTGCTGGGCACCCCGACGATGTCCGCGCCGCACAGCGTGCTAGGGCTGCCCATCACCTTGACCACCTTGGTCACGTTGATGCGCTGCCGCCTGAGAGCGTGCATCCTGGGGGCGCGGGCTTTGAAACGCTTCGGGCGGCCTCGCAGGGCGCGCGCGGTCCGTTTGCGGCCGCCAGCGTAGGGGGTCCCCAGCAACCTCGCGCCGCGTTTCGGCACCTAGAGACGGTGCCTGGACATGAGAGAAAGATCTATTATATATATATATATATATAGAGAGAGGGAGAGAGAGAGAGAGAGAGAGAGAGAGAGAGAGAGAGAGAGAGAGAGAGAGAGAGAGAGAGAGAGAGAGAGAGAGAGAGAGAGAGAGAGAGAGAGAGAGAGAGAGAGAGAGAGAGAGAGAGACAACAAAGAGAAAGAAAGCGAGAGATAAATGACGAGAGAGAGAGAGAGAGAGAGAGAAAGAGAAAGAGAGAGAGAGAGAGAGAAGAGAGAGAGAGAGAGAGAGAGAGAGAGAGAGAGAGAGAGAGAGAGAGAGAGAGAACCGCGAGACGGGGCTTCGAAGCGACTGCGAACGACTTCGTCGGCGAAACAGTCAACTGGAGGCACTTCTCGCACGTCGACGAAGAACTCCGTGCCACGAGACGCTGCTGCGAGGGCCTCCCCAGAAAAGCCGGATGCGGCAATGGTCGAGTCGTCTACGTACAGGAGCGGCCGCAGGAAAAGCCAGCGGAGCGTGGCAATGCGCATGGACTCGCGCAACGACATCTGGAGCTCGACCGCGGCGAACCCCGAACCAGCCGCGATGCCGCGAGCAGCGACGAGCAAGCGCGAGAATGCGCCCTCGCGCCGATGGCCCGCGCCAGCACTTACGCAGCCAGAGACAAGCGCAGCGCGACCAGGTCGAATTCTAACCGCGCGGCGGCCGCGGCAACGAGGTGGCGCGGGATCCGCTCGAACGACTTCGCGAGGTCAAGCAAGGGCGCGACATGGCGGCGTGCCGAGGCCGCCGCGGCCTCGGCAGCGAAGGCCGCCGCCCAAGCCGCGCGCTGCGCGCCTCGCCCAGCGCTGCCGAACACCGACGGATGCGCGTGGGCCGCCTCCCAAGCCCGGACCGCGGTGGCCTTCGCGCGAAGCCCGCATGCGGATGGCCGTGGGGGAAAACCAATGGGCCTCATGCAGCCGTCCGGCTTTGGCAGCAGCGCGATCAGCACCAAATTGCAAGCGGCTTCCAAAGGCCGAGGCGCTCCGCTGCGAGTAAGATGCGGCATAGCTTGAGGCGCGCTGCAGCAGGGGGGCGTCGGAGCGCCCGCGGAGCCACGCGATCTGCCCCGAGGCCCGCCCCGACGGGGAAGGACGCGACGGCCTGGCCCAGGCCCCGCGTCGCAAGCGGCTGGGGCGCCGAAAGCAGGCGCGCAGGAAAGCACGGCTCACGGTGCTCCTCCCCGGCGGCCCGCTGGCCAGCCCAGCCGCGAGCCTCGCGGTCGAGGGCAGCCTGCTCGGACAGCGGCGCCGCGGTGGCCCGGGCGCGGCCGCCCAGCGCGACCTCGACGCGACTGGCACCAAAGACGTCGAACTCCAGCGGGTCTGCATCGGGGACGTCCTCCTCGCAGTGCGGGTCGCCGACTGGCGAGCGCGCCGAGCCGCCGAGGCCCCGCGCGAGCCGGAAGGCCAGGCGCCTCGGAGCGGACGCCGAAGTGCGCGCCGTGTGGGCCCCGCCAGGCGCCGCCTTAGCGCCGTGGTGCGCGGCTGGGCGCGCGGCCGCCACGGCGCCCTCGATCCGCCGGGCACGCTGCGCCGCCCTAGCACCCGGCGCCCGCAGGGCAAAGGCCCCGCGAGTCAGCCGCGCGCGACAGATGGCAGCAGCCCAGGCGAGGAAGGCTTCCGGCGACTCGCCAGGGGCACCAGCAACCCGCTGCGCTGCTGCTCGCTCCCTGGAGCAGTGGCGAGCGAGGACGACCTCGTCGTGAGCGGCGGGCCGCGGCAGCCCGAGCACGGCAGCAGTCTCGCAATCACGAGCCGAACATGTTCGCCATGCCACCCGCGGCGATTGAGGGCGCGCCTGCGCGTCGCGCAGCGGGGCGCCCCGCAGCTGGTTCCCAGCGGAGGCGTGGCCGGGGCCGCGGCGCTGGCACCTCGCGCAAGGTGGTAAACGCGCCGCGATCCGCTGTGCGAACTGTCAACGGCGGCCTCGAACTGCGTCGCGCCCACGATGGGGGCGGCGTGCCAAGCGCCAGGGGCGGGTGGCAGCAGCGGCCCCTGAGGGAGCTCACCGTCGACGCGTCGCGGGCGAACCAACCGGCGGACTGCCTTGCGGCGAGCATCACCGGCCAGATGCAACCTGGTAGGAAAATGCGGGGTGAATCCGCCATCGTCGATCCGGCTGACTCCGAGCGCTGCGCGCGCCAGGCTGCGACTGACGACGAAGAAATCGCAAGTGGAGCCGTTGCGCGCGGAGATGGCGGGGGAGGCGATGCGGCCCTGGGCGACGTCGAGCCATCCAGCGTCGGTGAGCATCTGCGGCGCGACGTTCCAATCGCCAGCAATCACCCATGGGCCAGACAGCAGGCCCAGCAGCGCGGCAGCCTCGGCAAGGACATGCAGGTTGGACTCCGAGATGCCCTGGCTGTGGAACAACCATATGCTGCGCGCGTGGGTGCCGCTTTTCAGGGCCGCGCCAAGGTAGGCCGCCTGCAGGCGATGGCGCAAGCCATCCGCGACCAAACCATCGCGCGGAGTCATGCCGAAACGGCGCCGGCACAGCGCGCCCACGCCGCCAGACGCACGGTCGCGCGCGCCAATCCAAGATGCGATCTCCGCCCAGCTGTTTTGGCCGCCCGCGCGGATGAGGCGAGCTGGAGCTCGGAGTGGCTCCCGCGCTCCTGAATCAAGAGCGCGTCGGCCGACGTCCGCGAGATGACCTGGGCCAGGCAGGCGCCCCGGCAAACGGCGTTGGCCGCGTCGGTGGCCCAGGCGCCGGAGGCCCGCAAATGCGAACCCTCCGAGGCCACCTGGGCATCGGGTGGCGGGCAAGCGTCGCCAAGATCAGCGCGGCGACGTGCAGGGCGCATGCGACGACCGTCGGGGGCGCGACGCCGCCGCGCCCGGCGGCGGGGGGCGCCCGCAGTCGAAGGCTGCCAGGCAAGCAACGCTGACAGCGAGATCGCGCGCGCCTCGGAGGACGGCGTCAGTGCGTCGGCAGCCGCAGGCGGCGGCTGGAGAGCACCGCCGCGATCGCGATGATAGCCCGGAACCCCGCGCGCGAGCCCAAAGTAGAAACCTGGATGGCTGCCCGCGCATGCATGCGCAGGCATATCCTCGACCGCGGGGGCGAGCGCGGCGTCGTCGAGGGCGGCTGCGGGCGGGCGAGAGCTCCGCCGAGAGGGGAGCCGGCGGCCCAACGCCAGCCACCTGCTCAGCCCGACGCCATATTGAAAGCTGGTCAGTCGAGGAGGGCGCGTCGAAGACAGGGACGGGGTCGGCCACCGAGCCCGCGACCAACGCCCCTGCCGGCAGCTCGGGGACAGCCGCGGGGACAGAGGCAGACTCCGCGACAGCCGCATCGAAGTCCCACTCGTCATCCAGCCCTGCGCCCAGGGTGGGAAGACGGCCCAGAGCGCCATCTTCCCAGGAGGCCTGCTCGTCGACTGCGGCGTCGAAGTCCTAGTCGCCGCCCTGGGCGGCGTCAGCGAGTTAGCCAATGGCGCGCCTGGCGCTCGGGCCGGGGCGGGCGGGATCGCCGGTGCGGGCGACGGCCGCGAAGAAGAGGATCAGGCCCCACCACGAAGGCCACCTGCTTTTTGACGAAGGGCGACGAAATGGTGGACGCCGTGCCCAGGCTTGTCCGGAGCTTTTTGCCTGGGCCCCCGCCCCCGGCGTAGGGTCGCCATCCGCTGGGAGGGACCGACCTTGCTCCGCTCGTCGTCGTCGACGGCGAGGTCGTCGACGGAGCCGAGGTCATTCGCCATGCTGGGGCCCCCCTTCCGAGGCTGCACTGGCGCTCTTGGTCTGAGCAGCCACCGGCGCCTGGAGGTGGGCCAATTGCTGCTCAAACTGGGCCTCGCGCTCGCGCCATTTCTCCTCGGCGCGCGCGACGGCCGCGTAGCCGGCCGGGGCCGCGGCCGGCTGTCGGGGGGCGGGCGCGGCCGCGGCAGCAGGCGCTCAGAAGCAAACTGCGTCGCCAGGGCAGCCACCTCCGCAGCGGCCTCGGCCGCTGAGGCTTCGGACTCGGCGGTGGCCGCCTGCTGAAACAAGATCTTCTTCTGGAGCTCCTCCCGATCGGCCTCGCGAGCCTGCAAAGCCGACTTGGCGTCTGCCAGCCCTTTGCCCATGCGCGCCTCGTGGGCCTCCGCCGCCTCCAGTTGCTTGCTGAGAGGAATGGCGACCCGCCGCGCAGCTTGTGCATTGGCGAAGTCGGCCGGGAATTTCGCGATGCACGCCTCGTAGCCGCCGGCCACCAGGTCGCGCAGCTCCTCCGGTATACTTTGGGCCTTCTTGAGCCCGTCGCTGGCCGAGGCGACCGCCTTGTCCAAGTCGCTCTCGCCGTCGAGGCCCATGCCGCCAGATGCGGGCTCCACCGCGTCACCGCTGGCAGCGCGGGCCCGTCGCAGCTCCGCCAGCTCGCCCTTGAGCTTCTTGAGGTCCTGCGCGTGCTTGCGGTTGGCGGCGTCCAGCTGCTGCCGCAGCTTCGCCGCCTCGCCTGAGGCGCCGCCGGCGCCAGGGGCAGCAGCGGCCTTCGCCTTCGGCTTGGGTTCCGTAGCGGAGGCAGCGCCGTCAGCGGGGCTCGCACCAGCAAGCCGGGCGAGCACCTTGCGCGGCGCGTCGTTGCCGCACTGGTGGCATTTGGGCTTGCACGCCCAGTTGGTTGAGAAGCCGCAGTTGCTTCAACCCCAGCACGGCTTCTTGTCGACTCTGGACGGCGCCATCGGCGCGACCAGAGGGGCGGCCCCGTGGTGTCGAAGAAGCGCCCCGGCGCCGCGGGCCACGCGCAGAAGCTGGCGTGCCTGTTGGCGCTTGGCGCAGAGGCGCCGGTGCCGCGCCTGCTCGGGCGTGGCGCAGATCGACAAGCGGCCTCCGGGGGGGAGGCTGCTCGCCAAGTGCAGGTCGGCCCGCAGAGGCCAGCCCAGTTGCCTGCGCGGCGCTGCAATCCCAACGCAGCGCGGGGCAGGGCAAGCAGGGGCTGGCGCAACATGAGCCAGAACCTTATAATCTATGCTGTGCAATTCACTTTGACTGTCTAGAAGCTGTCCTCTCCACTGCTCGCGCTAACATCCCAGCCTCCCACCCGCAACTTGGTCGCAAGATTTCTTAAGACCGTGACGGTGGGTACAAAATTGTACTTGGCAGCGACATCGATGCCGACGACGACAGCGACAACGACGACGACGACGCGAGGACGACTACGACGACACCGACGACGTCTCCGACGACTTCGACGACGACGACGACGACGGCGACGACGATGCCGACGCCGACGACGATGACGACGCCGACGACGACGACGGCGACGACGACGACGACGACGACGACGACGGCGACGACGTCGACGCCGACGACGACGTCGCCAACGAAGACGGCGACCACGACAAGGAAAGAGGGAGGGCGACGACGGCGACAACGACGACAACGACGAGGGAGGAGGGAAGACGGCGACGACGCGAACGACGAAAAAGGACGGAAACGGCGACGGCGACGACGACAACGACGAGGGAGGAGGGATGACGACGACGGACGACGACGACGACGACGACGACGACAACGGCGACGAAATAGGACGGACGACGACGAGAGGCCGAAGACGGACGACGACGACGACGACGACGAGGGAGGAGGAAGGACGACCACGGCGACAACGACGACGAAAACGACGACGACGCCAAAGAGGACGACGACGACGACGAGGAAAGACAGAAGACGAGACGACGCAAGAACACGCACGGCTTTGTTGAAAACCCGTGTTGCGAAACCCTTTGTGTTTGCATGTTTCTTGGAAGTTCAATTTTGACATCCTTCCGAAGTATGAGGTTTTGGAAAGATTTCGGCATGCGCGCTCGAGGGCGCGCGCGTGATCTTCGCCCCATCTGTTGCAGAGGATTCTCGCGACGGCACGCGCGCAAGGGCTCTCGAATGATTTCGACATGTGCGCGCGAAGTTCGATTGGTTGTATTCTTCGGCAATCGTGAAAAGCCTATGGCGTCTGAAGAAGTCGCAAGAGCGCGCGTGTAAGTTTTTTAGAACATCAATGGTGCGACACCCTGTGTTTTTGTATGTGTTTTGTAAACTCGATTGCGACATCCTTCCGACACCCAGGGTTTTTGAAGGATTTCGGCATGGACGACGCGCGCGTGTGCATTGCGTCCAACTGTTGGTAAGAAGTTCTTGCAAACTTATTAATTGTGGCTCGCGCTTAGTATGTTTTGCAGAGGGTGGCTGGGATAGTCAGAGTGAGGGGGCTGAACCGAATGAATGGTCATTCGCTGTCCCTGGGTGCGTGGCTGAAGTGGAATTCCACAATGCGGATTATCGTTGTTGTTGTGGTTGTTTGTTGTTGTTGTTGGTGGTGCTGCTGCTGTTGTTGTTGTTGTTGTTGTTGTTGTTGTTGTTGTTGTGGTTGTCGTTGTTTGCTGTTTGCTGTTTGTTGTTTGTTGTTTGTTGTTTGTTGTGTGTAGTGTGTTGTGTGTTGTGTGTTGTTGTCATCGTCCCACCCGCGACCCGCCCAACGACCCACCCGCGACCCACCACGCGACCCACCCGCGACCCACCCGCGACCCACCCGCGACCCACCCGCGACCCACCCGCGACCCACCCGCGACCCACCCGCGACCCGCCCTCGACCAACCCCGCGACCCACCCCGCGACCCACCCGCGACCCACCCCGCGACCCACCCGCGACCCACCCCGCGACCCACCCGCGACCCACCCGCGACCCACCCGCGACCCACCGCGACCACCCGCGACCCACCCCGCGACACCCCGGCGACTGCGGCGGGTTTCTTTTGCATTCGCTCCAAGTGGAGAGCCCGCGACCACCCCGCGACCCAAACCGCGCCCGCGACCCACCCGCGACCCACCCGCGACCCATCCGCGATCCATCCCGCGACCCGCCCAAAATTTTCGGCGCCTGCGGCGGGCTTCTTTTGCATTCGCTCCAGCTGGAAAACCTGCGACCCACCCGCGACGCAAACCGCGTTCAGTGTACAGATCAAAATTTTCGGCGCCTGCGGCGGGCTGTTTTTGAAGACCTTCCACGTGGAGGTGTAGAGCCCGCGACCCACCCGCGACCCAAACTACGTTCACTGAACAAGCCAAAACTTCGGCGCCTGCGGCGGGTTTCGTTTGCAGTCGTACCAGGTGGAGAACCTGCGACCCAAACCACGGTCAGTGTACAAATCAAAATGTTCGGCGCCTGCGGCGGGCTGTTTTTGAATTCCTTCCAGGTGGAGGAGGAGGAGGAAGAGGATCAGGAGGAGGAGGAGGAGAAGGAGGAAAAGGAGGAAGAGGAGGAGGAGGTGGAGGAGGTGGACGACGACGACGACGACGATGAGGACGAGGACGCGGACGAGAAAGAGGAGGAGGAGCAGGAGGAGGGGGAATAGAAGGGCGCCATCGACAGGGAAAGTGAGGGCCACGAGGTCCGCCGGCTCGTCGTTGCTCATTGACCGGCGCCCGCGCCCGCCCCCTCACTCTTGTCCGCAATTGTGGGGTGCTGCGCATGAATTCACAGGTAGGGTAGACATTGGGTCAGACTCCTGTGTTTTGGATCGGTTCCAGGCGGAATGCAGGCCTAGACGGCGCGCAACGACGAGACAACGACGAGGCGGCGCAGGCGACCACGGAACCGCTAGACCGCCTGACAAGCCCCAACGACGGGCGGCGACGAGAAAACGACGGGGCGCTGACGGCAACCACGGATCCGCTTGACCGCCAGACAAGTCCAATTCCTTTTTCCAAAAGTAGCAACTCCTAAGTGCAAGCGTACTTTGGTGTATCTACACATATGCATAGCCATGTGGTGTACACACAATCATGCATGTGTAAATATGCATTTTCACATATGCACATACATATATATATATATATATATATATATATATGTATACATATATTTATATATATATGTATCGCCTGTATGCCTGTGTCAATCTCGGCCAAGGCTCGTGGGGAATGTGGGTGGCCTGAGGCAGACTGTGCTGATAATAATGCTCCCGCGGAAGGTTTCCAGTCTGGAACGTGTAAGGGGTGGGCGCACGTGTCTGTCGTTTGAGATGCCGTGTGCAACCATGATTCCTAAGTTTGGGCTGGCTTGCGGCCTCGTCGCACACAGAGGGTGTCTCGGGGATCCTCTTGGGTGCTCATGAGGCCTGTTGGGGACCTTCTGGGCGTGTTCTGAGGATGCGGAAGGAGACTGACCACGGGATAATGGAGTTCCTTATCCAATGGCGCCCTCCAAGACGTAGTGCAATCTGGCAAACTTTGCGAGGCATGCAGGGAGGTAGATCCAAATCGATGGCGCTGAGAGGTGGTCTCGAAGATAGACTGTATGCGGAACATTCCTGGGCAATAGTGCATGCCACGATTGTCGACCCACGCATGCGCAGCTCATCGAACTACCCGTTTTGGCCTAGCGAGCGCATGCCGAACATAACAACAATATTGCTGCCAATTGTTCGTGACGCTGGGGATCTCCTGCGTACGATCACGAGGGCCCCTTCGAATTAAGCTTTCCTCCTCCCTCTTCACCTAACCCGGAAACTTCAAAGACCTGCTGTAAATCGAAGTAAATAAATGTGTCCCCATCTTTCGGAAGATCACGCGAACAAACACAAAGGGGAGCCCGTCCAACGTAACACCATACGAACTTCTCGTCCCTCCCGCTTGGTGCCTGCCGTTTTCGGCGGCGCTGGAGCGAAGAGCGGGAAGCAGGAATGAGATAGCGAAGAGAAAAGATAATGGAGATGATATGAGCGGAGGGGGTGGAGGCATGGGGAGAGAAGCGTTCGTGGGTGCATCGAGCGTGTGTCTTGGCCCATCTGATCGCTATTCAGTGTTACCTTCGCCCTGTCTGCTGTGCCTTCAATCTTGCACGCTGCCGGGGGTGGACGCGTCGGCTACCGCCAATGCCGCATGCCCCTGCAACCCCTCTTGGTGGCCCTCACGAAGGAAACGATGGTGGCGGCGGCAAAAGCATCGCCGACACACAGCAAGGGATGAGGGTGCAAACCTGGCTTGACTGGTTGCTGCTCCGAGTGGGTGGGAGGGGTGGGGCTGCGTTCATAGAAGACTGTAAAATCGCTCAAAGATCTGCGGATGACAGAGCCTGCAGGGTGGGCCCTTTGCACTTCTGTGCATATCATCTTTCGCTTCGACTTCAACTGCTGGGAACTTCGACTCGTCTTCGAACCAACTCACCAATCGGCTTTCCGTTCGCACGGGTTCCTGTGTTATCGTGCTCTTCCGTTGGTGTTGTCTCCACTCCCTGCTGCTAACGTTGGTCCCCCGTTTGGTTCAAAAGTCTGGCTTTGCACGCCGCCAAGCCTGGACTCGCCGGCCGTCGCCCCTGTCGCTGTCGCAATCCACCCACTTCGAGGACGTGGAGGAGGAGAGGTGCCTCCCGCCCTTCCCTCATCCTCTGAGAGGAGAGGGAGTCTATGTGGTGCTTATTTCCTTCTACGAGGTCGTGCCTCTCGGGTCATCATCTTTGTGGGGGGCTCCTCTGGAAGAGGATGATGGGCCTCCATGCCTCAATGTGTCTATGCTTATTTGTGGCCACAAAGCGCCCAGTAGAACAAGGTAGCGCTCAATCGAAGCA